CTTAGGACATTAGGGAGGGCTCCCAGTTCTGGAAGTCTCCCTAGTTGATCAACCATTATATTTGTCTTGGACCACCATCTCCATTGGTAATGTACATGGGACCCTCTTTTGGCTGGACCCGTGGCTTGGCAGGGCCCCGTATCGTGCCAATTTCCGTGTATTTTTTGTGATATTCTCAGTCTCGATGCTTTTGGTTGCCTGGGCCGCCAGTAGTGCGACTTTGGAACATCCCGTTTCGATGAACATTTGGCCCGAAGGAAACCTTAGCTCGGGTTGCGTTGTGAGCAGCCCTTCCGCCCATGTTGGTGGACTCCCTTCACGTGGTGTCTTGGCTAGAGCCTTCAGGGGGCTTCTGTGTTGGATTGACGTATCGTTCCCTAATTCTGGCTTGGTCTGTGGAAGGCGCCGCTTCCCCTAAAGATCAAGATATTCGTTTGGCAGCTTTTGCACGAACACCTCCCCTTGGGGATGGATCTGGCCAAGCTCCATGGTCCTGGTGATGGGTTGTGCGCCCTATGTGGTGTCCCTGAGTCCAGGATCCATATTTTCTTTTCCTGCCCCTTGTCCGCTTCTTATGGAGCTTTGTCTAGGAGGCTCTAGGGCCTAAATGGCAGGCTTCAGACCTTAGACAATTTCTAGAACAGTAGGCTAGCCGTACTGGTAGAAGGAGACGCCTCTTCTAGTTAGTGTTCACCACTTTGGCTTGGATATGGATGACACGTAACAAGATGTTGATTGAGAGGGTTTTTTGCAACGTGCCACTGACTCCGTGTTTAAATTTCCGGCATTCCTGCAACACCGACACCCGCTTTCTAGGCAGCGGGATAGGGAGCGGCTAGGCGCCAAGATTGATACTCTGTGTGCGGCAGAACGACGCATGGCTTCGTCGCCTAGCTAGTACTACGGTGGGTCCATGGAGCCTTGTACCATCTTTCTTTTTCTTTTGGCATGTTTGTATTGTTGCCCCAGCAGACTTATTCTTTCCAGCCCTTGAACTTGTTGTATAGTTGTGGTGTTTTGTTTTATATACTCCCTCCGTCCTGAAATAAGTCTCTCAACCTGTTGTATTAAAGTTGAGGCACTTATTTTAGAAGGGAGGAAGGTTGTCAGCATGCATATAAGAGCGCGCATGCGAAAACGTACCGTACTTCATGTCCCTCTCCGCCCACATGCATATGCATATAGGGTTCCGCTACAAATCGAACGTCAAATTATTAGTATTCCCGTACATATACCGACTTAGCTGGCTGGTCGACTATATACGTGTAGTGAAAAAAAAACGATTTATCTCTCGATCTATACCGTTGATCCAAGCTAGGGCTAGTATACAAGTACACGTCGCTGCTCCAATTTATGTGCCACCGCTGATCTCGCTTTCCATGGAGGCGAGGTCCCCTTCAACCCCTCCATCGTCGCCTCCCTTCTTACAAGTGTTCTAACTCTCCTCAGCTAATGTTACTTCTAGTACGACAACTGTAGCAGAGCTAATGCGTACAATGTTGCCTCCTTTTTACCTGGGGCGCTTGCAGTGCAAGACGTACAGATGCATGTACTAAGAATTAGTAGTAACTATTAAGCGGTGATCGATATCTCTTATCTCTCCAATCCCTAACTTATCTAAAAGTAACAGCCACCCTTAATTCGGCAAGTACACATCAACAGGTCCTCTTCTAGCCTGCTGCTGTCTAAGTTTTAACTACACTTTTTTGGAAGAAAAAAAAGTTTTATTCAACTACTCTCTCTCTCTGTCTCTCTCTCTCTCTACCCCAGACCACCACCAGCTAGATGAGTACCACTTGCACCTATCAGAGTCTCATTCTCCACAACGCTGTGCAGTCCAGTCCTGTTTGGCTGTGTCACTGTGTGTGGCGCCGTGTATGTGTAGCTATAGGGCTAGTGGTGTAGCTAGCGCCTTGTACAAGCTAGGACTAGTGCTTCTCCAGTCCTCCTCTTCTCCCTCTACCTAGCTTGCTTCTGCTATAAAGGGCGCCGGCGGAGGCAGGGTAATCGATAGGGAGGGAAGCGAGATGACTCGATCAAGGCCGACGACCACCACCACCATGGGGGGATCAGTACCAGACCACCACCACCACCAGCACGACGGGGAGGTGGACGGCGGGCAGCTGCAGCACGGCGAGCACGTGGAGACGGTGATGCCCGGGTTCCGTTTCCACCCGACGGAGGAGGAGCTGATCGAGTTCTACCTCCGTCGCAAGGTGGACGGCAAGCGCTTCAACATCGACCTCATCGCCTCCGTCGATCTCTACCGCTACGACCCATGGGATCTCCCCGGTACTGCGCAACGACGAATCCACCTAATTATAATCATGGCTAGCTAGCTTCCCACCGCGTACATGATTTCATGCATGTGACTCGAGATACCTTTAATTAACTAGTCTCGTTGATTTCATGTGACCTCCACCTTCATTCTCACCTTTTTCCTTTCCCTCCTCTCCCCATCTCCATGGGTGCACGGGTCGATTGTATTGCGGGCATAAATCATGGCAGCACTGGCGTCGATCGGGGACAAGGAGTGGTTCTTCTACGTGCCTCGGGACCGCAAGTACCGGAACGGCGACCGGCCGAACCGGGTGACGCCGTCAGGGTACTGGAAGGCCACGGGGGCGGACAGGATGGTGAAAGTCGTGGAGGGCAACCGCTCCATCGGCCTCAAGAAGACGCTCGTCTTCTACGTGGGCAAGGCACCCAAAGGCCTTCGCAGCAGCTGGATCATGAACGAGTACCGCCTGCCACACGGTGAAACCGAACGGTACCAAAAGGTAACCCTAGTAAATTTTTCTTGAGTATAGGTAACTACTAGTAATTCATTATTAGCAAATCTTTATGCTGATCATGTAAAGCATTAGATTTTAGTTTTCCTTTTAACTGCAAGACAACAAGATCTGGTTTTGAGTTTTCGCTTTGTACTTCACCTTAAATTGGGTTTGATTAACTTGACCAGAACAAAATTAAGTTGCCCCCTTGAGCTGATAGGTAATCTGAGAAACCGAATGAATTTGGTTGCGCTCAACTTTTGGAAGCTCCGCGAGATCTTGTTGCAAAAGCATAAAGTGCGTGTTAGCTCGTCAGCTGAAGATGCGTCCCCTCACAAAATAATTCCGTTCACTGTTGGAGTTGAGATATGATATGATCCATGACTAGAGCGATCGCTTCCGTAATACTTGCCGGCATGTATTTGCAAATATTATTGGCCGGCACGTATTGTCTGGTGAAATAAAGGTGTAGAAGGTCCGTACGTAGTGAAAATTACATGAGCAAGAATTCAGCCAACGTCTCAAATTCTCCATCGCTTCTACCTATGAACAGTTATACCACACACGCCCGCGCGTGTACATCGATCTTTGTAGTGTTAGTTGCTTGTAAAATTTCTTTGTAGCCACAACTTTTCCTTGTACTCGGTCACTGGACCCGGAATTATTTTTAGGGAATATATATGTTAGTGCCCAAATTTGTGCAACCATTTTTTTGAAGGAGTATGATATTTTGGCTTAAATTTGGTTGGCTGTGCCTTTCGCAATGAGATTTTGCCCACCCTACTCACATTTCCTTCACCATTCTTGCCAGAATTTGTCAATGTTGGTTCAAGGAATCTCTAGCCAATTCTTGGTAGCCATAGTTGGCAAAATTTTCTAGGGCATAGGTTCCAACTTTTTAAGATGTGCATATGTGATAACCAACCCAAAAAAATACGTACAACTCCTTCACATTTCTTCTGATCATATATAGCAAGAAAACGCACCTCCTTCAGTTTCAGTTCTTCGCAGTCGATATGTAAAACCATTTAGCTGTACTGCTATAGACTTATATGGCCTCTAGTGGCTGCTTAATAATTTGGGAACTTATATGTTGTACTTTTGCTTTGTTTTGTGAAACAAAATGTGTATAGCACTTAGTTCACGTGTCACTGAACAGTTTAATTATCTAGAATGCATATGTTGCCTTAAGATTATATCAACTTGTACTCTTATTTTATTGCCCATTTTATCTTTCTAGAAAGTAAATATTCCAACTCATGCATCCTCTTGCATGTATGTATATATCAGGAAATTTCGCTCTGCCGGGTCTATAAACGCCCAGGGATTGACGACAACTTCCACCTCACTGGGACAACAACAAGATCGTCTGGCTCCAGAGCGGCGGCAACGAGGCACAGTACAGCAGCACACCGGACGTCAGTGGCAACTCACCGCCAGCAGCCGCCAGTGTTTGTCGAGGGCGGCGGTCACCACTCATCATCTGCTCTCAAGGCGTACAACGCGCACACGACCCAAGGAACAAATGCAGCCAGCACCATGACATCACTGTCGGCAGCAGGGGCGACGCCGCCGGCGATGTTCCGGTCGGCGGCCTCTGTAGCCTCGCTGAGCTCCACGACCTCGACAGAGGAGGATGGCACGTCGCTCTACCACCACCACCTCAAAGGACACAACAACCCAGCAGTAATGCAACTGCATTCTTCCACGCACGCCACGCTGCTCAACACCAATTCCTCGGCAATGGCGACCATCCCGATCGAGGAGCTGAGTCGGGCGATTGGGTCCTACAGCCAAGCTTCAAACCCTAACCACCCCACGGCGCCACTGCAAGGCCCATTGCTTAACTTCCCTAGCTTGGAGAAGATCTGGGACTGGAACCCTCTCCTAGAATCTCCAAAGGTTTGCACAAGCTTCAAGTAACTTCTTAGTTGCATGAATGGATCAATGCACTTATCATATATATGCCTCCCATTATTTGTATACTTATGTATATGCAGACAATTATCCGGGCTAGGACAAGGCTATATATGTAATGGAATAGGTAACAAATTAAGACAGTTCTAGTCCCATGCAATTAATTGGTGTAACACTGTCTGTGCATTTCATTTCCGAATAAAGGTTAATCAAAATTATAGATATGTGATCCAATCATTTCCCTTCGTAATAATCATGATTTAAATTAAGTATGCACAGATAGACGGTGTAATTTACGGATAGGATCTACCGCTCCTTAGGCTGGACATGATTTATTGCTTGACAATGTATTGAATTATTTTATTTTTAGGGTGCTCTGGACTTTTTGGCTGTGTGCATTTAGCTATGCAGTGGCCGGGCTTTCTTTCAATACGATTGTATCACTTTGATATATCTATTCAATGAAAAGTCCTTTGTCGAAAAAATGCACAGATAGACGGGTACATAGTTTTTCAGGATGCCTCCATGAAAGTATCCAATTTGCTATCTCTAAGGCAAGTGTAGTTCTTTCTAGCTAGGTTGACCGAATTGCACAAGAGAGACTAGATTCGAAACCCTCTCCTCACCCTCTCTCCATCCATCCCGGAGTCCAGCGCTCCCGGGCGACTCAGGAGCGACCTCCTTCCTGCCACCGGCGTAGCCACCTCCTCTCCCTCCCTCCCTCGCCACCGCATGAGGCTGGCGTCGGGCAAGCCCGTGGCGCAGCTGGGGACTGCGGCGTCCTGGTCCTTGCTGCGTCGCCTTGCGCTGGAGAGCAATTGGATCTGGGGCGGCGGCCCTTCCGGCGAGGCCCCTCCGTGCTATAGCGAGCGGCGGGGCTGACGTGGTGCCGGTTGTCTAGTCGGACGGCCGACGGATCTTCGGTGAACCAGGGCCTGGCGTGACTGCTCTGGCGTCCGGCGGCGCCTAATCTGGCCGCTGTCCTCCGACCCTGATCGGTGTCCTTCTCTCTTGTGGGTTCCTAGCGGTGCCGGCGTGGCTTGCTGGGACCCTGGCTGGTGGCCCCGGTGAAGCTGGTGGAGGAGATCTACATTGCGGGAAACCCCTTGCTCGCCCCCGGCCGGCCGCACCGGCGACGATGCTCAAGGGTGCCGCTTTTCTTCTTGGAGACGTCGGTCTACGTCTGCTC